GGTACCCACTGGGGACTGGCTGCCCCCCCACCCCCTGCCACTCCCATCCTGCCTCTTCCAGGCACAGCTGGAGAGTGTGGGAAATGCATGGTGAAGTTTCCCACCAATGCTTGAGTATCCCAGCTGCCCCCAACTTCCCTGGTCCCCCACCAAGAAACCCTTGACGGCTGTGCCCAGTTCTGCCTATTCCCGACACTTCCTGACCCCTGGCCAGCCCAGGCCTTGCTGCTCCCGGCCCTGCCTCATTCCAGTTCACTCCTCCCCGCATGTGCTTTTCAGGATCTCATTTGCCAACGCCTGCACATCCATGGCAGCCACTGTGCATGCTGCAGGGGCAGCTGCCTCAGGGTGGCCTCCTCTGGCATTCTGAGAACGTGTACGGCTGTCTCACATGTGTGGAGTTGGCCCAGGCAACACCAGGCATTTGTCCTATGGGAATAAGGCCTGTGCCTGTCTTCAGGCCCAGCTTTCCCAGCCTCTTCCCATGCTGATGGAGTCCCATCCTATTTGGGGGAAGTGGCATCCCAGGGCCTTACAATCCTCATCACAGGGTCTGGGTCCAGCCCTCTCTCCCAAGGGCTTCGGTTCCTCAGGGCACAGAGGTCACCGAGATGGGCAGCACTGTGACTGCTCCTCAGGGCACTGAAGATGGATGGAGACTCTGGAAGCCAGGAGCACACCTCAGACACACGATGTAGCTTTAGCCTGTCATGGCGCGTCACAGCTAAGAGAACTCTGCTAGCCCGGGAGACAGACAGAGCTGACCTCAAACCCCAGTCCTGCCCTGGCCTAGCTTTGTGGCTTGGGGCAAGGTACTTCCTTAGCCTCTCAGGGCAGTCTCCATCCAGGACACCACGTAGCACTGCCCCTGTTGTAGGATCGCCGTGATGACTCGAGGTGATCTAGGAAAATACCCCAGCAGTTTGCCCCCGGCCCACTGTCATCATGGGGGCAGGGTCCTGGAGGCTGTAATAACCGCCATACGTGGGCTGTGCCCTGTACTCACTGCAGACCAGGGGCTCACATGCCTGATCTGAAAGCAAGACCACACGATATGTCTCCGGGGAAAATCCCACCCAGGAGGACCAGCTGTGGGGGCTGTGAATCCCAGAAGCCTGTGACACTCACTGGGTTCTGTGCTATGGTGGCCGATCTTTACCCCATGACAGCCTGAGCAGAGCTTGGAACTAATGGAGATTCCTGCAGAGGCTGGAGCCCAATGGCTGCTTGAGTGAAATGAATGAAATTCACATAGTAAATGAATCACCTGCCATCTTACCTCCCAGCAACAGTTTTGACTTATAAGCCTGAGAATACAAAACATTATAGTGATTTTGAGGAGATCCAGATTTGAACAACTGCTCAAGGGAATAAGTTCCTCCAAGCTGCTTCTTCCAATCAGAGGCAGCAGTAGGAGACAAGACCCAAAGCCTCCACTACAGCTGGGACTGTGGGGGTCCTAGAAGTCACCCCTTTCTCCCCGGCACAGGTGGCTGTTCCCGGACCTCCTGTCCTCCCCCGAGCCCTGGGAAGGGAGGTCGTGCAGCTGGCCTGGAGTCCGTGAGGCCACTGTACATGATGGCCCTGGGTCTGCTGGTCAAGTACCCAGACTCTGCACTGGGGCAGCTCCGCATCGAGAGCACGCTGGACGGAAGCAGATTGTACATCACGGGGAACGGTGTCCTCTTCCAGCACGTCAGGTAAGACCTCCGTAGGGCACATAGCTCACAGGCTGAACTTTGCTCTGCTCCAGGAACAACCCAGGGTACGGGGTACCTTCCCCATGCAGCCCCCTCTACAGAGGTCCTCTCCCACTCAGGAGGCTTCTCTGGGCACACAGAGATGCCAGAGTCAGGGGTGAGCCCTGAGAAGCAGGCAGGACAGCTTCCCCTCCTCAAGGGACGAGCTCGGACTGTCACTGCAGGGGCATGGGTTCCAATCTTGTTTACAGAAGGTAAACTGAGATTGAGAACAATGGATTTCTTAAGGTCACAACATACAGTGGTACCAAAGCTAAAGATAGAAGTGGGTGTCCCTGAGCCACTGAGCAGAACGTCAGCTGACCCTGGACAGTAGCTTACCCCAATTCTGTTATTTTAGGGTTTTTTTTTTTTTTTTTTTTTTTGTTTTTGCTATAGGATATGTGCACTTACTGGAGAGAAACAGAGAAAGTAAGGGATACCATACTCCCTTCTCCATTTTCCTCTCGGGATTTTGGGCACGTACATACATGCGCCTGATACGTTTTTCTTTTCTTTTAAAAAAAATAATTTTATTTATTTATTTTTATTTGCTATAGGGCATGTGCACTCACCAGAAAGTGAGAAAGCAAATCAGCAGGTCTGGGAATTGAACCACTGTCGGCCATGGGGGAGTTCAACACCTTAACCACCACTCCACTGCTAACCTCTCTGGTGTGTTTTTCAAATCATGGTGTCTGGGACACAAACCTCATAGTCAGCTATATGGGATCCATCTCCTTAACCACCATGCCACAAGCTGCTCCCCCCGCCTTTTATCCTCTAAATATCTTTTTTTATTAATCTATTTATTTCATGAGAAAGCCCTGACAGGATCTTGTCACATCACAATCCTCCCCCCAGCCTTCTAGCCAGCCAGGATCATGGGTGACCCCTGTATGTTCAGGTCCAGTCAGATCCAAACCCAAGGCCTTCCCATATGGTTCTGGTCTCACGCAGCAACACCCTATTGCCTGTGCCACCAAAGCTCAGCTCTTTCAGCCCATCTGTTCCCAGGAATGTCCCCTGAGACCACAGAGGCAAGGACCAGTGCCTTTGGAGGGAGGGTCCAGGGAGAGGGAGTCAATGTTCAGACCCCAGCCTTATTCCTAGACATACAGGCTATTAATAATTGCTCAGGATCATGGCCGGCTGCCACACAGAGATGTCTTGGACAGATGCTCATGGGGGCTAGAAGTGAGTCGCTGAGCCCTGGCCTGGCTTCTGGAACCTGAAACTGGACCTGGAGACTTGAAATTAGTCAGTATAGAAAGCTTTGCTAAAGCAGATCAAGCTCAGCTCCAAAAGGATGAGCCTGCATGCAGGCTTTCTCTCCTGCACGAAACCACTGTTCTCCACAATGCTAGGGCTGAGCCAGTGTGTGGCACTGGGGATGTGCGGCTGGACTCTTGGGGTGCAGTGCCAGGGCTCTTCATGATGGGCCTTTCCTCTATACAGGAACTGGCTGGGCACTTGTCGGCTGCCCCTGACGGAGACCATTTCCGAGGTGTATGAACTGTGCGCCTTCCTGGACAAGAGGGACATCACCTATGAGCCAATGAAAGTGGCTCTGAAGACTCATCTGGAGCCAAGGACTTTGGCGCCCATGGATGTGCTCAGTAAGTGGGGAAGCTTCTGGATTTGGTTTGCCTTCAGGGAAGCGTCTGGGGGATCGGAGAGGAAAAGGAAGCAGGCCAAGGCCAGGAGAGATAGATGGAAGAGGAGGGGGAGCCACACCAACATTCATGGGTATTCTTGGGAGAAACCTTCCTATTAAGAGCCTGCTCTTCATCTCCAAGCCCACCAATCACCTCATGCAGCACATATAGGGCTGCTACCAGTCTGGGCTGGTGGGTTGCCAAGGGCAGGCCTGCTCTGGCCCCAGGAGCCACCACGCTGTGCTCTTTTGGTTCTCAGCACCATCCAGGGAGGAGCGACCCCATTTAACAGATGAAGCAGAGGCTCAGAGAGGAAACATACTCAAATTAGTGTCAAGTGGGGGCTTCAATTCAAGTCCAAAGCCAATGTTGCTTTGCTGCCTGTAACCTCTTAGTAATGAAGTCTGTTATGGTAAAGTTCAGGCAACATCCCTTGAGCACCTACCATATACCAGGACAGGCAGACTCTGGAGGTATAAAAGGAAGCAACACGGACTCAGCCCCTGTCTTCCTGGCGTTCACAGTCCAATCCTATACTTCTTATTGCGTGATTACAATATACTGCTAGACACAGACCCTCCACTCATTGCAGCTCAGTTTCTAGTAAACTGGTTTACAAACATCAGAACAAACCTAAACAGTTTCACCTCCAGGAAAAGATTCAAACCCCAGCTTGATCTTTGCATAATGGGCTCATCTTCCCAGCTTAGAGGACCCCTGCTCCAGACATGCCTCGGGGCCTGCTCTCTATAAATGACAGTGAGCCGATGAGAGACGGCTCTATGACAGCAGCACAAACATAGGATTCCTAGCTCCAGTCTGAGCAGCCACAGGAAAAGCTCCACACCCAGGACACCCCTCCAGGAACCAGAGGCAGTAGGCAGTGATGGCAGACGGGATCATCAGTCCAGCTTTCTTGAGGGAGGCGAGTCAGGTAGAGGGGGCAGTGTCCTTGGCGGGTGAAATTCCAGAGGGCTCACCTTACCAAGAAACCACACAGTGGGCAGCAGGAAGGTTGGTGTTAGAAGTCTGCTGCTGGGAACCAGCAGTTAGTTTAATGGCTATGTCGCTGGACTCCCATGTAGTCAACCAAGGTTCGAGTCCCAGACCCGGTGGCTTAAAACTCGGGTATGTGTGCATGCATGCCCAAGATCCCGAGAGGAGAATGGAGAAGTGATTGCGGTGTGACCATCCCCCCTGGGGGGTGATTTCTCACTTTCTGTCTCTATGTCTCTCTCTGTCTGTCTGGCGAGTGCACGCACCCTATAGCAAAAACCTCTCAAAAAAAAAAAAAAAAAGTCTGCTGCTTCTTCGAGCAGGTAACACACTATGACTGATAGATCGAATCATAATACACAAAATTCATTCGAGCAAATGCCCTAATTTCCCTGCTGCCCACCTGACGGGTTTCCTGTCACTGGCTCCCACAGATGAGGAATGGATGGCAGAGATCACTGTGTATTCCCCTCAACAGATCATCAAAGTTTATGTTGGAAGCCACTGGTATGCAACCACCCTGCAGACCCTGCTGAAGGTACTGCTGGCCCTGGCTGCCCCCTCACCCTCTGGTTTCTCCCCGAGTCCACACAAGCTGCTTTGGGACCTGCCACCTGACCTTCATACAGCCTCCAGCACCTACTCAGAACAGGGCCTCTCCCTCCCATGCCTCCGTTCCACTGTCTAGAGTGCTTTTGTATGAGCAAAAGCAGGTCAGGCAGCATGCTGGGCAGCCAAGAAGAAGGTAGGGTGGAGTTCCAGGTGCCTAGAGAGGGTCATCTAAAGACCAGCAAGAGTTGAAGAAGAGAGGATGTGCCTCTCCCTGGGTGCTCTACTCCCCATTGTGGTACCCTGACAAGACAGAGAGTGGAAACCCCAAATCCCAAATCTCTAGCATGGGGACCAGCAGTTGGCATAATGACTATGTCGCTGGACTCCCATGTAGTCAACTGCAGTTTGAGTCCCAGACCTGGTGGCTTAAACTCATGCCAGGCATGTGTGCATGCATGCCCAAGATCTGGAGAGAATGGAGGAGAAGGGATTGAAGTGTGGCCATCCCCCCTGGGGGGGTGGGGGGGGTGGTAATTTCTGTCTGTCTCTGTCTTTCTGGTGAGCACATGTGTTCTATAGCAAAATCCTCTCAAAAAAACAAAACATCTCTAGTATGGTCGGGAAAATGGAGTGAGGGAAGACTGCCCTGCACCACACTGAAGACCTAGCCCTGGGCACTGAGTCTGGTGTCCACCCTCTCCAGTATCCAGAACTGCTGTCCAACCCACGGAGAGTGTACTGGATCACGTACGGACAGACTCTGCTCATCCACGGGGACGGCCAAATGTTCCGCCACGTTCTCAACTTCCTGAGACTTGGAAAGCTGTTTTTACCATCTGAATTCAAGTAAGTGAAGCAAGGAGATTGTACGATGAAGTCACCAAGGCTGACTCCTCTCTCTGCAGAAAGGAATCTAGAGTTTGCAGCCTTCAGGGAGGAGGCTATATTACTTCCCACACGGGAATAATATATTTCCACATGCTCAAGGCAGCAGCTGTAAGGGCTCATGCCCCCCTCCAACTCCCCCCAACAGCCCAGTGTGACATCTCCTCATTCTTTGCAGGGAATGGCCCCTCTTCTGCCAAGAAGTGGAGGAATACCATATCCCATCCCTCTCAGAAGCCCTTGCACAATGTGAGGCATACAAGTAAGAAAAGAGACTTCATTCTCGAGTCCATGTTTGGAATGTGGACCTTTACATTCACCTTGGAAATCCTGTCCTAAGTCTCACCTCCTTCTAGGACCTGTTCTCCTTGGGCTGAGGGAGTAGAGGCAGCCCAGGATTGGCCAGTGACCTAAGCACAGACATTTAAGAACTCCTCCCCTGCTGTTTAGCTTAACTCCCAGCCAAAGGGCAGACCAGAGCAACTGGCTGATGGGCTGATGGGAGCTTCCACTCACTAACCAGCCCCTCTTGGTCTCTGCAGGTCATGGACCCAGGAGAAAGAATCTGACACTGAAGAAGCTTTTCCCATCAGGAGGCTGCATGTGGTGACGGAAGGGCCAGGATCGCTGGTGGAGTTCGGCAGAGACAGCAAAGAAGTAAGCCCCTACCGTCTTTGGCTGGCATTGTCCCTAAAGAACACCTCCACAAGGCTTGAGGGGTGCCCATGATGAAAAGTACGGCAAAATAAGGGTGAGGCTTTCACAGGTTCCTAGTACAGGAAGTGGTTTCTCAACCTTGAAGAACACACAGGGACGAGCTGACCAAGTGTGGCCTGGGAGGCTGGTCGTATCTCCTGTTGGAGTGTGAGAGGGTGAGATCCCCGGGTTGGTACCACCCCCATTTAGACCGAGCCAAGTTCAACGCGTGACCCATGTCAGGGATGGGATGGTTCTGGGTGAGCAAGCGAAGTCTTGGAGGCACAGCTTATTAGATCTTGGCAAGGCTTTGACTCTGATGCACATCACGCCCAGAGCTCCCGTGCCTCTCTCCCCAGACCACGGCCTGCATGCCTGCGGACTTCCAAGACTGCAGTGACAGGACTCCATGGAACAAGGCCAAGGGGAACCTGGCCAGGTCCAGCCAGATGGAGGAGACTGAGCAGTATACCCGGACCATCCAGGTGTCCATGTGTCGAAATGCCAAGAAAGCTGGCAATCCCAGCACATACTCACACTGCCCTGGCTTGTGTGCCAACCCCCGACACTGGGGGGGCCACCCTGAGAGTCCCCCAAAGAAGAAGTGCACCACAATCAACCTCACACAGAAATCTGAAACCAAAGACCCCCCTGTCACCCCCATGCAAAAACTCATCTCCCTGGTGAGGGAATGGGACATGGTCAATTGCAAACAGTGGGAACTTCAGCCACTGACAGCTTCCCGGAGCTGCTCCTTGGAGGAGACTGCCCTGCAGCTCCCCTCGGGGAGTGAGGCTGCTTCCCAGCCCAGCACCTCTGCTGCCTGGAAATCCCATTCCACAGCCTCAGAGAAGGATTTAAGTCCACAGGCAGGGGCTGGAGTAGGAGGCAAAGACAAGGGGCCAGAGCCAACCTTTAAGCCATACATCCCCATGAAAAGAGCTGTCACCATGAAGGACTGGGGAAAGCAGAGGCCAAAGGAGAGAGGTGGGTCCTGTTTCTTCTTTGACCCATCTCATTAACCACAGAGAAGGCAAACTCCTCGGCAAAGACCACAGAGCGAGTTAGCGACAAAGGGGAACTAGAGCCTCCCGCTCACCAATGCCAGCTCTGTGCCAGGCACACTGGCATGGCTCGAGGAGCCCAGAGATCACATTCGGTGAAGTGGCGAGCGCTGTGGGAAGGGGGGGCCTTCCCACAGAAGTAGGAGCTCAAAGGAGGCTGGGGGCTGGGAGTCAGCAGAAAAGGAATGGGAGAGCAGAAGGCACTGGCCAGTGGGGTGAGGGTTCCCAAGGAAGAAATGGGAGATGAGGCTGAGGCGGAGTCATCGGGACAGGTCTGCGGGCCGAGTTCAGGACATGGGGCTGTGCGCTGACCCTGAGAGATGCGGGCAGCCCCTGAAGGATTAAATCAAGGGGGTGTGAGGTCAGGTACACGTATCAGACAGTGTGCTCCAGGAGCAGAGCAAGTCCAGGGCGGGGTGGGGGCAATGGAGTTCAGGTAGGCTGGGCAGAACTAGCTAGCGGCTGGGAGGGAGGGAAGGAGGGAGGGAGGATAAGGCCAACGAGGGGCCAGGTTCCTACTCCACTTACTGGCAGGGATGGACGAGAGAAAGAGTGAACTTGGGCGAGAGCACACGTGTGGGCGATGCTAAGGGACACTGAGCTGAAGTCCAGAACCCAGCAGCACTTATGGGGACTAGATTGAAGAGAGCACGTGTGTGACCAGGCGGCAGGGAGGTGGCCCAGAGCAGTGTGCTGAGAACTGCCGATGCAAGCTGTTCCCTCTGCTCCTGCAGTCTTTTCTATGGCATTCTGTCACCTGCCCTTTTAGTGGCTCAGGCTCTGCTTAGAGAGGACCTTCCTGGCCTTTGCCTGTGAGCCCTAAGCTGATCTGTCAAGCTTTGGGGTGAAAAAGTCCACTCTTCTAGAATGGACACACAATAAAGGTGGCCCAAAAAACTCCTCTCGGTTTACAGTTTTAGAAAGATTTCCAGTTCCCAGCTGGGTTGTTATTAGCCCTATTTGATCCCAGTCTTAGGTCAACAGAGAGATTTGGAGACATCCTTGGAGTTCCAAAATTCAGGATCTGGCTTACAATGATGCCAGGACAGTGACAAGGAGGCCAGGGCAGACCCCTGCCAGCCCAGGTGCCACTTCCAAGAAGCTGAAGGCAGCAGCTGCTGGAAGGCTGGAGTGACTGATCTGGTGTGCTAGGCTGCCACCACAGGTCCCCTCTCTGCTTAGACTCTTCGGTGGCTTAGGCAGAGCCCTCTCCCTACATTGTTTTACAGAAAGCTTTGCCCCTGAGCAGCCTCTACCTGAAGCCATTGAGATGAACAAGCCAGGGATCATCCTCAAAGTGACTCATCCCCCAGTGGTGGGCAGTGATGGCTCCTGCATGTTCTTTGAGGATAGCATTGTCTACACCACGCAGATGGACAGCCTCAGGCATATGCCACCTGCAGCCAGCCTACAGCCCCAAGGTGAGACGCCGGCCCCACACTTCCTTGCAGAGATGCCTGAACCCCTGCCCAGAGTACCTGAAGGGATGTCCCTTGGAGCCCTAGACCATTCCCCTTCTTCCAGGTAGGCCTGAAGGCCCTAGCTGTGGGCGGATGTGAACATACCCACCCTCCCTTCTTCACAGAGGTGACTTTCCTGAGTTTCTCTATGTCCTGGGAAGAGATGTTTTATGCACAGAAATGTCACTCCTTCCTGACTGATATCATCCTGGATTCCATCAGACAAAAGGACCCCAAAGCCATCACAGCCAAGGTGGCCTCCCTGGCTAACCGGCTGTGGGTATGTGTGCAGGCCCCAGGACCTGGGGCACCCTGTCCCTTCCCCATGACCCCCTAACCCTGCAACAAATGGTGCAAGAGGAAGCAAAGTGGGGGTG